TGCTTTGATCGTAATGGCAGTTCAATCTATCGAACATCTTAGAAAGTGATTCCTCTCTTGTGATCTTATATTTGCTTCATATCACCTAAGAGTACATGTAGATGTACATAATAAACCTCAAATCCCACATCTGTCTGACCAGCATTATGTTGCATGTACATGTAATTATATTGCATGTACATGTAATTATGTTGCATGTACATGATAATTTGCTTTTCTTGCTTTTCTGAAAAGGTGTTGCGATGTAAACTGAAAATGTAAAATGAGAGTATTGAGATATAAACTCATTATTTTGTCTGATTTAATGTTCAAAGGAAATGCCAACAAATATATATTATTAATGGTGTCACTTTCTTTAAATTGTCATTCTTTTGTCCAGCTAGTCCACAGGCTTTTCATTTGAATGCTCTTGAAAAAAGTAAATAAAAGAGGTAAAAGAAAGTTTCTGCTATATCTGGTACATAGTGTCGGCATTAGAATTAAATTATTAAATCGACATACATGTACTTTTAAAGTTATCAGATTGTTCATTGTCTTCCACTTATGGAGCAGACATAAGTTCTCAGGATGCAATGTTTTAATTTCATTCAAAGGCACATTTGGGAACTTTCTGTTTGTGTTTATTTAGTGGAATGCTTGAAGAGCTTGGAAAACATGACATATTGATTGTAGAAGTTGAAATGTGTATGTCAGTGACATAATGCTCCTTGACTCTGAATTGACACTGAAACAAGTAAAAGCAAACCTTTAACCCTTTATAACTGTGATGAAAGTAAAGGTCAAAAGAAACAGGTCCCAGCAGAACGGAAAATTGAATAGGAGGGGGATTTGGTACAGAAAAGTACTGTCTAAGAATATGTTATGCTTTTAATATTACTGTACCATTGGTTTCTATGAGAACTAAAATTTTGAAATGCACTTTTCTCTGAACCACTTTCACGCCTGGATGAGTTCATTTCTTGCTTATTTATCAATCAATTGTCATAATTTTTTCAATAAAGGATGTATGCTATGCATTGGTGTGAATTACCATCATAAAATGATATATGTGATCTCTAAACGTATATTTTACATAAATTCATGATTTTTCAAGTAAAAAGTCCTTCGAAAACCACTTTTTGAAATTAAAAAAGAAGTTTCACATATCACATTTTGGTAACACTTGATAAGCCTACAATATAAGCCAATTTATAAAGTGATTTAAACTTTATATGGGGCCTTTAAAGGTATATATTTATAAGTAAGAAATGAACTCATCCAGGCATGATGACATTTACATCGGAAAACAATAACAAAAAGGAAATTCATCAACATTAATAAAGTAATTAAGAACCACCAAGAAAATAAGTTTTCTGTGGAATGAATGTAATGAAATATAGTTTTTAAAAGGTAGGGATAAGAAGGTACACATTTAGGCAATAATTTATTCTTCCATATGCACTGGATTACATGGAGAATGCACTGACTAGTGACTAGGAACATGTTTTGTCTTATCATGAATTAGAGTCCCTCTCTGGAGGAGCTCTGATAAATCAGCATGCACATTAGGTGCTCAAACTATTTGACAATTAGTTTTTGGTATTTGTGGTTATCATATTAGGCAATGGCTTGGTTTTTGGTTTGAAACCACCAATCTCTGTATACACTACAATACATACTGTAGAATACTTCTTTTAGTTTCTATTAGTTGTGTAAGCATCATTTAACCTGTGGCTGGATGGCCTTGTATCTACTGGAGGATCTTTTGAGAGAACTATCATGACAACATTGTTGAAGGAACTGGTGGATTTTCTGGCATTTCTATTGAATTTACACTCCAGTATTTACTAAATTTCCTTTGCATTCAATTTGCTTTAGCTTTAAAACATGACCACCATGACATTTTTCTCACAGCTTCTTATGATGTTGTTAGTGTTTCTCTTTGTGCTTGTTGATTACTTTATGCAATTGAGTCGTACACTGTTTCATTTTGGCTGAATGCTATATGGCAAGTAGAGCACCACAAGGGCACTTAATGGGAAGAAAGTGCCACAATTGTGGACAAATAGAAAACATTAAAGACTAGTTAAAGAGTAAAATGATCAGGAGTGGTTTGTAATAGTGGGGGACCCGTGGAACTCTTTGAGAGGTATTTGATGTGTGTTTCTCAAAAAGAGCAATCAATAGTGTTGCCTGGAGGTGGTCTAGTTTGCTACGACACTATTTTATTAATATTCAGCTTTCAGCTTGTATGACATGCTATCAGGTATGGCATACACTCGCCTTCCAAAATTAAATCATAACAAAAAGAAAACCTCATAACTTGGAAATTCAAGAAGACTTATATATAAGGGTTCCTTCTAATATTATACTGTTAAAATAAAGAGACAGGTACTTGTGTAAAACTATATGCACCTGCAGCAGCATTACATTATGGAATTGTGGGGTCAGACACAGGGCTCTTGCCAGGCTTTTAGACTGTGGCGCAGCACCACAGTCTATTTAGGTCTCACCACAGCCTATTGGTTAATCATGATTGTTTCCACAGTCTATACTTGATTGAATATAAACTGATAGCATGTAAAAGTATAAAATATAACATAAATATGATTTATCATGACTAAACGGTTATTCTGAAGATGTTTGCACCACACCCTAAATATTTCTTTATGAGAGCTTTGGGTCATTTGAATGAAAACTATACTATTAAAGGCATTTTGATTCATACGACACATAGACTGGTGGACTGTCTGGCTTAAAAAAGTCAATAATTGGACGATCTGCTCATTTTTGTATTCTTCTGTTTACATTTTATTGGCTTTTTCACGATTGTGTAGTTTGTTTCAGTGTTTTTCTTTCTGCAAGCCAGACCCCATTAACAAAACGTTTGTACTTGTTGTTACTTGCACTGTCATAGATACATGTAGGCTTTAAAAATACATGTAGGCTTTAAATTTTTGTTTAATTTTACTTTGTATCAGAAGTACTGGATGAAAAGAGCTCGCACTAATAAAATTCACGGGAACGATGTCAGCTAATAACCCCTTCTCCTTGCTGTTCAAATACAAAAAAATCCAACTATTACACTCTACTATACCTAACCCCAAGAAATGCATAAGATACTCTGTTTTGTCCAACTGTACTGTTAATTATATTTTTGAAAGTACCTCATTTACATCTAACAGTCACTCGATAAACCATTAATAAGGAACATACAAATGAAAAAAATAACATAATCATATAATAAGCCTAATGGGTTCATCATGAATACCAAATGCAAGGTATAGTAGAGTGTATCACAAGATAAATTATTTGTGTATTAATGGTTGTATTGTAAGGGTTCATTTTTATGTGTGTAAACTATTGTTGTTATGAACCTAACATTGACATGATGAAAAAGAAACAAAATGAAAACTTCAAAAATTCAAGGTCAGACATTAAAATGATGAATTGCCCAATTAAATCAAATGAAAATGTCAAAATAACAATGGGTATATTAGCTGTAGACTGTACATTATGTATCATGCTAAACTTATGGAATTAACTACCCTGCGCGCAGAGTCTAGTTAAACTACACTCTGCCTAGTAGAGACCATATTACAGTTTAGTAGCCCTGCCCCCACGACGGGTACTGGTGACAGTTTGTGTAATAAATAACTTTTGACCTACGCCCTGACCTTTCTTCCACCAATCAGCGAGCTTGAAGAAACATACGCCAAATGCGTTTTAATTAAATATGCGCATGTCATTGGTCAATTCCGGGCTCAACAATGACGTCAGAAGGAATGACCATATATAGAACGTCGGTCAATTTTGGCCGACGAACACTGATTGGCGCGGTGAGTTCACAGGTTTATTTTAGTTTGAAAGAGTGAAAACGAAGCTCTCTTTTAAGAAGTGATGTCGAACGAATGCAAAGGGTAGGAATTAACAAAGCACTAAACTATTACAAAATGTATTTCATAATTGTGTCAAAATAACAATGGGTATATTAGCTGTAGACTGTATATTATATATCATGCTAAACTTATGGAATTAACAAAGAACTAAACTATTACAAAATTTATTTCATAATTTGCAATAATTGTATAAATAGTAGGTAATATCCAGCAGTTATGACATGAATAGAAAGTGTTCCCCTATAGAAACAAGTATCAAGGTTATTTAATGTGTTAAATAATACCATATTTGGTTTGTAGAGAATGCATGGCTATTTGAGTGCTCCAAGTACATGTATTATAACATTAATAATATGCTTGGCCATGAAACAGCATGGTCACATGCTTCATGAGCATCATAAGAAGAAAATGTCTGAGATTTTTGAGATTTGAGATTTGACCTTCAATGACCTTCTCAAGGTCAAAAAGGTCTTTTTTCAACTTGCTTCAAATTGAAATTGAAAGCTCTACAGTACCTGTATCTGTCATGAGTTCTGAAATGTCTGATTATATGTAAGATAGATTCTTTAGTATTCCAAAAAGATAAAAGGTAACCCAGCTGAGTCAGAGATACCTGTCAGTCTTTATTCTAGTACAGCAAACAATGAGGAGATCATGCTGACACCTGTTCCCACCTAAAGGGCTACTTCTGACCATCTGTTCATTCATATATTTCCAGAAAGGAGGATTGTTGTTCTACTTCTGGACATATATGATAAATTGGTACCTATAGGTCAAAACAGCAGAGGTAGACTTCCTCATTGTTTTGAACTTTAGCATTCTTTACTACTTAAATCTTTTGTACCCACTATATGAAAGCTCATGTAAAATGAAGATATACCTGAAGGGTAGATATGAGAACGCAGGCTGAGATATAGCCCCTTGACTAACTTGACTAGCGGAATGCAAGAAATAAGATGATGCATGTATATTAAACCTGTAAGAGACCTCCCCCAAAGTAGTGAAGATGCACTAATATTGTTGGCAGTGAGGTGGAGAACCTTCTTCCTTGAAAAAACAATAGAGGCTTGTATAGAGACCTTTGCCGACCTGACACATATGAAATAACAGTTTGAACACATTGTGGAATCTGCAGACTTTACTATCCATTGGAATACACCTCATCCTGGATTACCAAGGTATGAAGTTTTCATAGCTTGGAATCTGAGGCTGAAGTCCTCACCCAAAACCCTTTTATCTTGTCATAGGTTGAGGATTCTGATGAATGATATATCATCTTATTATGTCACCTCCAAAAGTGGTGACATATTGATATGGTCTCCATTTATTAGAGATGGCGCTTGGAGTCTGAAGCAATTTCTTACAACTTCCAATATCTTAACAAATACTCACTGTGCATCCTTCTTCGCTAGAATTATATAAACAACCAAATTAGGATTCATATTAGTATTCGTATTAGGATTCAAACAGAGAAAGCGAATCCTAATATGAGCTCATATTTGTATTGGGATTGACATTCGACTACATTTGCTGCAGAAAATCGCTAGAGTGACATAAAATTCATATTAGGATTCAAATTGGCATTCAAATAGAAGATATGAATCCTAATATGAGATCATATTTGTATTGGTATTGACATTCAAGCTCACCAGCAGGTACTGGTCATTTTGAATCTTAATCCCAATACCAATATGCAGCCAACTTTACTCACTTTTCTTACATGTACCATAGTGTCAGAGACCATTATATCATAATGGACTAGAGTTAATTGTACAGCTTATTAGAGCTTTCTGAATACAAATGTGGTTACTAAAGAAAGACAATTCTATTATTTTTGTAGAATAATCCGTAAACCAAATAAGCCATATGACTATATATTCATGGGATGCCATCGACTAATTCTTGAAATCGTTGTTCTTTCTTCAAAAGAGGAGACGCGAAAATCTTTCCTTAGTCACCTTTCCCCAAAGTCAGCTCATGAATATTATAATTAGCAAACCTGAAATCTCTGACGTCAGAGTAGGGCAGATTTTCACGGGAAAATCTTAACACATTAGAAGTCAATGTGAATCGTGACGGAAACGGGTTAATTTTATTGTCAAATTATGTTGAGTAGTAATAATATTCATGATAAATGTCATGGAATTTAATAATTATACTCACGTCTATATCCCCCCTTCTTGTTGTTATATTGTTCTGGGGAATCAAATGAATAGAGAAATATTGATGTGAAGAGTCCAATATTTCCTGTACATTTTCAAATTACGCCGACTGTACAAAGCCCCATGTTTAGTTTTTGACTGTCAAAATGTCAACATCCCATGGTAATCTTAAGTTCGGGTAATATTTTCTCATGGGGTGAAGAAGGGGGTACGGCTTAACCTTGAAGAAAAAGTATTCGACTCTGCTCTCAAATCTGGGCAAACGGTGCATTACTTTCACTTACGTTCAGCCACCTATTAAACCACATGACACGTAACCATTGTCGAATTCTTCGGCAGACATAAAAGTAACATTGTCAAGTGGTTTAATAGGTGGCTGAACGTAAGTGAAAGTAATGCACCATTTGCCCAGATAAGGCCGTTCATGTATGCTTTGAGACATTGTACCAGAGTTGCTTGTCTTACACACGATCGTCTATTTTGAAGAGACTTACATGTATCTCTTGAAAGGCCCATGGGCGTTCTTTTAAATATCGAATTTTTTAGAGAACTTTCAGGATATTTTGGACGTAGACCTACAAGAGAGAAACTCCAGCAATTCAAGCCTGTAGTCAGGATTTACCTGCGGGAGCGGTTTTACCAGCAAGGGGGAGCTTTTTGACAGTTTTGGCAAAAAATCATGCGAAAAGTGCTCAGAATAGTGAAAAACTGCATGATTTTGAAAGAATTTCTGGCCGGGGGGAGCGGCCGCTGAAAAATGCAAGTGGACTCTGACATTTAAAACTGTTCTTCATATATTTTTTATTAGAAACATAATGAGCTTTTTAATTGGATAATCATGGTAAATATATATTCCTAATCCATACAGTCTTATTGTTTGAATGATTGTCAATCTTTGGTTTGCCTAATTGGATTCACTTTATTAAAAGACTAGCACTCGTATCACAATTATTTCAATGGTTTGATTTACCGGATGGTGTATTTAAGACACAGCTTAAGGCAAAATAGTCAGAAAAATATATTTCACTTAGTTTTGTTATCATTATAATGAGATCTATTTCACTCAATCAGCGGTCTTATAGTAATTGAAGTTTTGGCGGGAAATGTGCCCTGCTTTGACGTCATTGATTTTCATCGACAAATCAGCGCAGCGGTCAAATGAGTACACTTTGGACTTTGGGGAAAGGTGAATAAGGTCAAAATATTTCCCATGATGCAGTTCGCGGAGGAACAAATTTATACTTCCTTGTTTTTCCTCATAGGTTTAACATGGGGATTTTCACACCTATTTTTCAAACGATATATTCATTCATATTCCGGTACGAGAGTACAGAAAAAATTATTAGAAACGATTGATCTCTTATTAATCTTGATATAACAGCTATTTTTTCATTGTATTGATTCATAGCTGAATAAAAGTATTCATCTTCAAATTACATTATAGAGTTACGTTGAGAACCCACAAACAACTGAGCAGTAGACCAAAGAAGATTCGTCGCTATCATCTAGGTCAATCTGTTCAGTGATCCGAAAGCAAATCTATAGTACTCGTTTCCGAATTTTGTTGTTCATTGTACAATTTTTTATTGATTAAACTCGGTATACTGACTATTAAAGCAATGACAAAGAAGAATACTTCCGATGGTGTCATTGTTTTATTTAGCGTGTGAGTGTAAAAACAAAATTGCGTAATAGTTTGATTTAGAACTTTCGGGTCACGCAAATAGCTACGCAAAATGCATAGTGGGAAAATATTGACCAATCAAATTTTGTCCTTTTTGAGTGCTTTTTCAGTACATATTTGGGAACGTTCTGATTCAAAGAGCGAACCGCGAAAGGGAGAATTTGTTCCATGTCACAGAGTAGGTCGTTTTTTACAAGAAATTTCAAGATTTTTACACAATATATTTTTAAGTGAAAAGCTGCTTATTCCCGGAGAAAATGAACCAGCACATGCAATGGCAATGCCAAACGTGCTTCTGCATGAAATTTGTCGGAAGTCATTTATGATTTTATAAAAGTAATAATTAATAAAAAAGGGATGAACATCCTTTACTCAGAATGATTGTTTTTCTATTATAACTACCTTTATACTAATGTATATAATTTATAAAATGTACTACTGTATATGATTTTTTCATATTGTCAAATATTTAGCCATATGACCATTCTGCATATTAAGCTGTATGACTATATATTAAGCCATATGACCAAATATTAAGCTATTAAGCCATATGACCATATATTAAGCCAAATGACCATATATTAAGCCATATGACCAAATATTAAGCTATTAAGCCATATGACCATGTATAAGTCATATGACCATATATCTTTATGCTTTATGCGATATGACTATTTATCCCATACTTAGTAGTGTTATAGGTAAATAACATGCGGGAATATAATTATAATTGATATCTGTGGTGAGCGGATGATATATAGAGGATATCCTATGATTTATGAGTGATATGATTTTTATCCACGAATGGATATGATATCTGCACGAGCGAGTGTAGCGAGAGAGTGCAGATATCAATATCCATGAGTGGATTAAAATCACGAGTAAATCATAGGATGTTCTTTTTATTCCATAGTTAAAGTCATCATCAGAATTGTCGGAAATTAAGTCATTTAATTCGAATTTTCCAAACGATCCGGCGATGTTGACACTTAGCCTCGTTTTGAGTCTGAAGTAGCAAAAATCCATTAACCATCGCATACGACGTCGTATGTCATGGCTAAAAAACCGTATGCTATGGTTAAGTGAAAATTTGTCAAAAATATCATATTTTACCACTGATTACAAAAATACCGTTTTTATTTTCACATGTTATCCAATGAATATCATGCTAACTATGGAATAAATATATTTATCCTACACTTAGTGTACTAAATGTATAATAACATTAAAAAATAAATTTGATATTTATTGGCAAAAGGAATATCCGGAGGATATCGTAACGATATACTCCGGGCTGAGGATATCGTGACGATATACTCCGGAAAATCCAATATGCGGAGTGTATTGTGACGATATACTCCGCTTGTTGATTTCCCGCCAAATTGACTCTATTTGGCATGGAATTCATTTTGCAATGATATTATACATTTAGTATACTCCTTGTAAGTGTAGGATAAGAACATCCTATGATTTTTTTTCAGAATATCATTTTAATCTACTCGGTGATATTGTTGATATATGCACTCGTTCGCTTCGCTCTCTCGTGCAGATATCAATATCACCTCATAGATAAAAATGATATTCCTCAAAATCATAGGATATCCTATAAATCTCCCACTGAGGTAAGCGGGAGATATATGTATATCACCCGCTCATCAGCAATCCTCTGGAATTTCTTTTCAGTGCTTTTTTGAATTCCTGGGATATAATTTGGCTCTATTTGATAAATATTAATTTCATACACTGTTAAATGTTAAAACCTGTTGAGTTGTAAAAAACAAAAATTGCTGAGGACTTTAAATTGAGATAAAATATTCATGTTTTGATTGTAATTATCGTTTGTAATTATTACATTAGGATTCCCTAACATTCTATACATTTTTAATTCTCATTTCCTACTAAGCATAGGATAACTCAGTTATTGAATGCTCGATTTTTGATACAGGGTTTATCACTGGGTAAATACAATATATCAACCCTCGGTCCCTACAGTCCCTCGGGTAGATATATTGTATTTCCCTCAGATATACCCTGTATCAAAAACCTCCCATTGAATAACCTCGATATATTAAGCTGTATGACCATATATTAAGCAGTATGACAAAATGTTAAGCCATATAACCATTTATTAATTCATATGACCATATATCTTATGTATTAAGCCATATGGCCATATATTTAGCTTTATGACCATATATTAAGCCATATGAAGGTATAAGTCTTGAGCGTCAAACACCAACATCCAAAAAAAACTTCAAAATATATAAAGGTAAAAAGTGTAAGGTTAAAACAATTGCATTTGGCTGAATTAGTTGCATTTTGGCAGACTTTAAGTTTTGATTGTTACATTTATGGGATGGACACATGATTATATACATCCCTTTGTTAATGTTTGTCATAAAGTGAAACTTCAATTGAACTTTTTAAAGGATGTAATTTATTGGAAATTCAAAAGTATACTTTTCTCAGTGGAAATTAGAGATGTAATTCACCTGACTTGTTTTAACCTCAAGAATACTGAATTAAAAACTGATGTCAATAGAGGGTTTACTGCTCCTTGTAACCATCATTTTGCAGACCA